GAGGGGGGGGGGGTCTGAATTGAGCGATCAATTATTAGACCCGGACGTCCCAACACTTGCTTCGCAAGACAAACTCAAGGTATCCCCTAAAGGGCTACCTTTCGTGATCAAAAATCATCATTCAGGATCATTCAGGCACATGTGGACCATCCCAAGAAGGAGAGTTCAACCTGCACAAATATAGTTTCATGACTTCCAAGCACCATGAGCTCCTTATACCTCGCAAGGTTCACACCCATCTGGAAGAACAAACACAATCTGCTGTTGGAAGTTCTCAGTTCTCGCCTTGACACCTTTGGCTTTGAACACCTCCAAGCCTGGTGCCGGAAAGTGCCGTCCATCTGCGTTCCGGCCCCACCGCTGGAAGTCGACCGTGACCGGTGGACTGGAGGGGGCAACTGGAATGACTATCTGGGCGGGCTCAGTTCCTACATGATTCCCCTGTTGAGATCTGCTGAGGTAAATGAAGCGTGAGACGGATGTTTCTTGATCTGCCTGGGCTCTGTCCATCACAAATGTCATTCCTTCAGCCAGGAGGTGAGCCTATAAGTATAACGAACGGCCCCACGAGTCATACCGTGTCCGGATGGTCAGAAGCGGCATGACCCACTCTGGACCCAGGTGCCGATCCCGCCGATCCCCTTCCAATCCCAGAAGCTCTTTTCGGAGATATCCCGGCTGTAGGTTGAGAGCCTCAGCAGATGAGGTCTGGTCTGGACACGTTTTTTCGGCAAAACGTTTTGGGCGAAACACATCGAAACACCACATGCCCCAAGGAACTGCGATGCCGGACTGGAATCGATGGCCTCTAATCCCCAATGATTTCAACCACACCAATGTAACAGGTCGATATGCCAGTCCCATGGAGTCTGGCATAGGGAAGATGACTATTTTGGGAACTCCATGTGTCACGTCATGTGTCCCGGTCATGGCTTGGCAAGTTCAAATCAACAACTCACCAAGTCCCAGTATATACTGCAGCTCTTCAATTCCCCTTTGGCGAAAAGCACCACAGGCGCCTCCTTCCCCATGTGCTCCGTAGGGGTCCACAGGCGAGATCAACACGGATGCAATGGCTGCATTGGTAAAGCTGATGGGCCACAAATTGCAGTAATGCCCTGGTAGGTGTGCAAAAAACAATGTGTATATATAAATATATAAATATATATATATATATTATGCATCACTATATGCATCTCAAAGGCAACCTAGGCTGCCCCCGCCAGTAAAAGAATGGTCGGCAGTGAACGTTTAGCAAAAGGTCCCTAGCAAAATTGCCGTGATGCTTGTTGATGTAGTGGGCCGTTTGCACTCAACCCAGTGGTACTAGTATGAGCTCACTGCTCGCCACGCCATCGCCTCGCTACTCACGTTCCAGTCTCACCCACCTATCCTTGTTCTCCCACCCACTCACGAGCCCCTCAACTTCCACACTCTTTGGACAGATAGGACCAGCTGCAAGTGGTCTTCCATGTTCACCAAGTTGATCGTCACCTGCGCTCGCGGACCGGGCACGAGATCCGCGCAGGAAGCTTCCGCCCAGATGTCGAAGTGCAAAAAACCGTCAAAGCGCTTAGAAAGCCACGAGAATCCACGAGACATGACAAGAACAAGCTGGACCCTCCAATGTACCTTAGAAAATGGGACATGACTCTGACATGACCCTATTAAAAAACAGGCACTTGTACCCATTTTCTGAAGTACTTTGTTGATTGGATCAAATTCCAACACAACCTGCACCTTTATCAAGCTTCCTCGTCTACTTAACCTTATCCGGCGCAAAGTCGCAAACAACAGGTTTGTTCAACTTAAAGGAGGGAGAACTTCATCCCAGTCAATTAAATGTTCTGCACGCCAACATGTCAACAACAACGATCATTCAGGAAGTCCATGCTTAAATGATCTTGTATGATAATATGATGTAATAGGACCGTATATGATATGACACAAAGCTGCTATAGAATCCACTTCCCAAGTGAGATCCATCAAGCCCTTGCAAAAACTACGTGTGACAAAGGACAATTGACAAGAATCGCTCAAGGACAAATTTTGCCTGATCCTGCAGCTTGGGGTAAAGCCGTTTGCAGTCTTCATCTACGAAGTCCGCCAAGTCCGCCGCGATCTCAACACCAGTTGGACCGCCTGAGGAACGAGGTGAAGCAAGGCCTAAGATGGAGACAGGGGCACCGCCATCCACGTTCGACCAGCCTGAGGACATCTCCACACCTCCGGAATCAATCGGAATCATATCACTAGGCACTAGGCCCAAATCAAACCCTCCCTAACAAAATCAGTCTTGCCCCATTCACCTTGCAGCCTACAGTAACCAAGAGAATCTGAGGGCTAGTTGCGAGTCATCTCGTACACCTGCCACTCTACGCTACATGAGCTTCCTCCCCAACGGTGACGGTGTCCTCGGAGCGCCGGTTCCGCCTCCAACGATGATGAAGTTCAGGAGCGCATCGCGATCCTGGCCAAGCTGGGTCGATCAATCACCCACAAAGCACGCATGTACGAGGGCCTCGTAAGGGGCATGAACCACTCCTTAGGGAGCCTTGGTATGGCCTTTTGCATGGCATAATATTCCACTCAAAGCTGGATTCAGGCATCCAAGTAGGCAAATCTTCCAGTCATCATGGTGTCTGGGCATGAGATGCAAAAAAATGGGGCCTAGAGGTCTGGACGTTGGGTGAAACCTCTCTTTCACTTCAATGATCGTTACCCCTGAAGGAGTCTATTAAGAAGCCCCAGACCCAGGGTCCTGTGACTGACCTACTACTACCCATGCGAACTGGTTGTCCCCTTCACCTCACTACCAATTCTTCAACCTCCCTGCCTCCCCCATCTTCACCCTATCTCCCCCACAAAAAAACAACAAAGATGACAAAGCAGCAATTGGTTTCAACAATGGCTCCTTTTCCGCCGCGGGATGCCACGATCCCGCGCGAGGCGGCGCGAAGACAAGGGCAAGGGCCCCACGCCTCTGGGGACATGGTGGGCAGCGCCGCCTCTTCGAAAAGGTCGGAGATGCGACTTCGCACGTTGCGGGCGTCGATGAGCTCCTGAGGGATGTTTTGGGCATGCGCGCGGATCTAAGCCTCCGGGGCCGAAAAATGGGATGGAAGGAGGATGGAAGGCAGAAAAGGGTTTGTGGGGAATCGTTGTGCAAAACCACTGGAACTGGGCAACATGCTCCAAGCCCGCCTAACCGTTTGAGGAAACTGTGCAATGGCTGATGGAGAAGAACAAACAGGGCCCAAAACAGCATGCCAACGCGCCTTGTTGAGAGGCGTGGGAGTGCACAGTCAGTCGCTCTCTGGCTCTGTTTAGCCATCATCTCATGTCATCTTGTTTGGCATGTTTCATGCTGGGTCAATGTCAGGAGAAGGACACATGCCACACAAAAAGAAGAGAGTGAACTTTAAAAGAAACACGTCGCTGTGAAGCACCGCCACTCGTGTTACGTGCATAGGAACCCACCGCGGACGAACTCAGGGCTCCGAGCTATTCGTGAGTGGAGCTGGAGTTCCAGTCGAAAGTCCTTCATGCCCTCCAAACCGACAAACATCGACAAACCGAGACACCCAGAATCGCAGGTCCTTGAAGTAGAAGGAATGCTGCTTGACACCGGGCACATTGAAGTCGTTGGTCTTGGCCCCAACGCCGTAAATAAGGATGTCATAGGGCATCTCGAAGGTGTACTTCTCGCCCTCCTGGTCTTGGCCATGCTCGGCACAGTGGTCGGCGCCCAAGGCGGCAGCGAAGCACGGGGAGACCCGTTGGAACTAGAGACAGGCCCCTCCTTCCAAATCTGGAAACAAGATTCACATTATTTTCCGGTTGAATTCTTGTTTCTCATGTGCTTTTATGTGGAAAATAGCCTTCCAAATGAGAATAGCCTTCCAAATCGTTCAAGAACCCATTGCCTCATGAGCCCTCCAAAAGACTGGTTTTGATTAATCTTTGGAACCAGTACTGGCTACATGTACAAATAAATGTAGCATAAACTATTTTAGTCTTATACACTGCAGATTTTGTAGCCGGATCCACTACACATATTTGGAAATGAGCTGCTGCTCGGCAAACATCAAACCTCATCCCTCTGACAACACCACCAATCTCTCTGATGCCTACTCGCCGCCCCTCTCCCACACCGGCCCACTGGTCGCCTCCTTGTCTGGAAACCGGTGGTACTGCGCATTGGAACTGACTTTGGAGCGACGGGCCCGGCTGCAGCGCACCACTTTCTTCTCCACATCAATGCCTTCTCCGCACTGCGAGGCAACACCGCCACGCTGATCCCGCTACTTTAGGCGACCCCAAGAGAAAACAGGGAAAGGGGCGACACTTTAAAAACAAAAACCAACTGAACCTCTTCCACTTTCACGAGTCGTTAACATTTGCCTCCGGGTTCTGCATCGGACGGAATGACTTGAAGCCAAAACTCCGTCACCTCACTGACCCCGTTTTCGGCGACACGGTATAGACCATGCAGACCTATGACCCACCCAGTTTGGCGAGTGACGAACGGTGCGGCCTGTGGAGCCCGTCCCGCAATGTGACCACACCCACCCTATATTTAGGGATCCAGCCGTACCGAACCTCAGGCTTGGTGCGGAAGACACTGTTATTGTGGAAGGAGACGCTGTTATTGTAGGTGCCTGCATCGGGTCCAGCCGTACCGAACCTCAGGTTCGGTACGACTGGATCCTTAGGGCAAGTCTCTCAAATCAAAAGTTTTCCTCGAGCCCTTGGTCCGGCTCTTTGAGAAAAAAAAGCCACCTCCGCTTGCACCCAATCAAAAGTCAAACCAACTTCCAAAAGCAGCTTCCACCTGGCTACAGTGAAAGCTCGAACGATGGCTGGCTCAGGAGAACACATTGGGTAGGTCGGTGGAATGCAGGTTCCTGGAAGTTGTGAAGGAGCAGTTCCCTCCACTACCCATACTATATATCCCCGAAACATGTTTGCCGTGCGTTTTGCGAACTCAAGACCAGCGGAGGTCAAGGCCTTCACATCGCGCTTCCAAGAAATCCGCCTTTCCAGCTGCCATCTCACGGATGGGCGTCACAATGGACCTCTCCTCATCCAAGGCCCGGAATGGGTATCGCTGATGAAAGCGGGAACTTAATGGTGGCTGGGTAGAAAAAGTGCATGGTGACATCCAAAGAGAAATGCTTCTCTTTGGTGAAAATTAAATTACGTGAAACTTATTGGTGTTAGTTTCTGCCCGCGGCCCACAATGAAAACACCCAAAGTTACAACTCATCCTCTTCATTCCTCTCTGGCCGCTTCATGTTCCATCTTTGATATATTTTGACCTTCGAAGGCGCTTTCAGCAACAAAGCCTTCCTACACAGAACCTCGCTTGCTGCCATTCAGTTCGTCCTACCAGCACATCCTATGCTGTGTCTATGATCAGATATGATTGGTGGTGCCTGAGCCTTGACCGGTGGTCCGTGAGCCTTGTACCATGAAGCATTCTAAGCCACGGACCCCGCCACTGGTGGCCATGATGCCTACGGCAACCGCCTCCCTCTAGGCTTAAGCGAGCCCTGAGATAGATGAGAATCCAACACAAATTTGTGGTCGACGATCAATCAACGCGTTGACATGTGTTGACTGACCCTGACTGACCTTGACTGAATGCACCGTGGTAATCAACTGCTTCCCCGATCCTGCTTACTGTAAATTTGGAAGGTTCTATGAAATGAGGGGATATGGTCAAAGCCGCGTGTTCAGCCTTGATACATCTTCGCCTCTGGGCACTTCCAGAACCCTGGAAGCGCATAATTAGTCACCAGTTCATGGACCAACAAAGACTTCTTACACCAGGCTTCCTCAATTGAACCCATCGTGCATGTGGGCAACAAAGGGGTGTAAAGGAAGAAATTTCGCATGGAGATCACCGTGATGTCGTACAGCTGGGCCTGTCAAGGATCTCAGCAGTTGGCTGTCTCCGGGTGGGCATTTTGGTTGGAGTCTTTTGCGTTGGTCACTGGGCGCACTTGAGTAAGGAATGCGGGAATGAGGGTAAAACCGAGGTTGTAAAAGGGCGTGGTGGATGCTAAATTTCTGGCTCAAGATCAATAACTAGTAGGGTGTTGTTTCTACAAAGCAACCTCATTTCTAGAATATTGCGGATTATGTGCCTTGGGAATTGATTTCTCACCAGCAGCCACGTGTTTACCAAACATGAAACGTGCAAGGTAAGGGGGGTCCTATGCGCCGAGAACATGAGTGAGAGCTTTGTAGATTTCCAATCGCTACCCTTGGGACCCCATACCTCCTCAAAAAATACTTAGGCCCACCCGGGACACCTTTTCAGGAGGCAGGAAATGGGACATGGTGACATGAAAATTGGAAAGCCCTGCATGTCATCACGCCGGCATGTGCAGCAATCACCACAAGGTGGCCGGGAAACATGGTCAGCCTCAAATAAAACAAATTTGTTTGCCAACGTTGGTGGGCCTAAGCATCTGCCAACATTTTGGTGGTGGTTGCAACCATTCACAAGTAGCAAAACACCACCTGTTCAGTTCAGTATCCAGTTCAACCACCTCTTGAAGAACATGGGCCTTTTCATAACCCAATCGCAACAGCAGGTCTTCAGGTTTGGCGCCTGGGGCTGGCCCTTTCCTTCAGGGGGTCGCAATGGGTCCATGGAAGTCCTGGTCAACGTGGATTGGACCCCCCTGGGGGCTTCCATCAAAATTGGGGGGGCAGGGGGTCCATGGAAGGCACGGGGGCATGCGCTCCCCGCGCGATGTCCCGAACACACCGTTCGCTCTGAGAATCTCGCCTGCTCTGGGGTGAGGGCTTGCAGGAAGGAGGCCGAAGCCCAGCCGGTGCCCAGGACCAACACACGCGGGCGCCCAGCCTTGGGAGGCACCTCACACCGGGCGACCGACGACAGGGAAAGAGGTAGTATCAACTGTACTGCCGGACTGAAAGTTAGAATGTGGTACCGGCTCTACGATTGTGGCTTCGAATGTCCGTTTCATTTTCCTACACTTAGAATGCCTCCAATGCCCCACAAATACTAAAGATTTGCCACGGCATTCCAACTGTCAGTCCGGCTACAGTGTTGTGCATCAAATGAGCTATATATTATACAGTGCTTGAATCATGTAAGCACTATAGATCTTCAATGGGAGATGAATTCAATCGGTGCCTTTTTTCCCTGCTTTCACTACTGCTTTCGCTTTGGATATAAATTCCATCCTGCTGGGTTTGAAGTAAATAGGCAAATACATCAATTATATATAAGCCCAGGTACGCCTCAATATTTTCTTTTCGACACGTCTTAGGTACACCTCAATTATTGAGGCTCAATGTGCTGGGAGGCATTCTAAGTGGTAGCGAAACCCTAGAATCTTCACCCCCTGGTAAGCATTCAATCTTCCAGTCCGGCGGTATAGAACAAACGAGAGACACATCCACCGCGACCAAACGGTTTCTGCTTGGGGCAAGTGTCCAACAGGGACAATTTTGCGTGTCAAGAGTCTTCCAGCATCAGCTCCGATTTGGAGGACGATGTGAAGAGCCCGGCATCACTGTCCGTAACCTAAGAGTCTTGTTGAAGCGTGACTGAGTCTCGCAGGCTATGAGCCCCAGCAACTCTAGAAACAAAAATGTTTTTCTGAGACATTCGACCCGTCAACTATTAATCTTCACGAATCCATGGTTCAGGAGGCTCATGGAGGCTCTAATTTTTATAAGTTTGCGGAAGGTTTGTGGAGGTTCGTCAAGTTCACTTGCAAATGAAAGTGCTGTATCATTTGTTCTCACCGGGTTTTGGTGGTGACCTTAAAGGGTAATATATATATATATGTATATGATTCAATCCTGGTCTCGAATGAAAACACTTCCATGAGCTGTGGGTGCTTCCAAGTTCCATAATCAGAAGTGGAGAACCCCCCCGGCCGGTGCCAGATGGAGAAATCTCCATCGACTGGCGTTGGATGGGGCGTTCTCCACCGGCTGGCAGCTGATGAAAAATATGTTCCATCGACTAGCGGACTAGCGGTTGATAATTTTTTGCCACGCACTGGTGGTAGATGGAGAGAGAAGTCTGCATGGACTGGGTGTTGATGGGGGATTTCTCCATGAACAAGTAGGGTGGTGTAAATACCCCGTGTCTTTTGCAATATGTACCTCGAAGCCATGTTATCGTTTTTTACTCTTATCGTTTTCTCAGGCGAAAGCATCTTTGATCGCTTTGATGGAAGATCACAAATCAACAAAAATTCATTTGGTGGTCTACATGGTCCTACTTCAGGATCCCGTAGCACTGCCTGTACCAAGGCGTACAACGTCTTTGGTGGTAAACAAATGGCAGCAACAAAAAATCAGGTTTGGACAGCTAAGCAGGACTACCACGATCTTGTTTAAATGTCTGCCCTTCAATAGGTCTAATGAAAACAGTCAAATGGGTACTTGCCCACTCAGAATCAGAATGATAATTTGTTGACCTAATAATATTTGATTGAAACATTTATGTAGAAAATTTGAAATGGTTTGTGATTTCGGACGTTTTTTTTTTGCTACATTTCCTTATTGTTTTCGTTATCGTTTTGTTATCGTTCCGGACACTTCTGCAGGTTGCCATTTTCGTGGTTCATGTAATCAGCTGCAGCATATGGACCAAACAGCCCATTCAGTTCCTAGTAAAAAGGCCAGGAACCCCGAAGAACTTCTTGTTCCTGGTAGCGATGCCGGGAGCCCCTAGTAGCTGCGCGTTGCTTTGGAGGAAGGCAAGGAGTTCCTAGCAGCTTCTTGTTCTTGTTCTTAGTAGTAAGGCCAGGTGTCCCTAGTAGTTTCTTGTTGCTAGTGGTAAGGTCAGGAACCCCTAGTAGTTTTTGTTCTGAGCGCGCAGGTATAATCAATGTTATCGTTGTTTTATTTTTGGGTGGAAATGCATTAGTCGTGTTAAGGTGCATGCCAATACTAAACCGTTGAGCGCGGGGATATTACACCAGCCCAAGTCACGAAAGGTAGCCCTTTAGGGGATACCTTGAGGTTGTCTTGCGAAGCAAGTGTTGGGACGTCCGGGTCTAATAATTGATCACTCAATTCAAACCCCCCCCCCCCGCGCCCCCTTGGAATTGATTTTTCAATACAGACGATTCAATGCTCACCGATGATCTGATCCATGGGGCAAGTTTGTTTTCCTAAGACTCTTTTTGAACATTTCCAAAAGCATATCTTTGAACAGTTAGAGTGCGTATGAACATATATTTACGATTTACGAAAGGTCGCCTCCGAGGAGATATATAAATCACCATGTCGAACATTGCATTTTTGTTCCTGCCTCTCGCGTTCTCTTCTCTTCCCGCTGTCCTACCTTTCGTGTCTCCCTCCTCTCAAGTGGTGGATGGAGAGTTCTCCATCGACGAGCCTGTCGAATGGACAGGTGGTAAAAAATTTCCCATGGACGGTTGGAAAATGTTTCTACCGACTGGCGATGGATAAGGTATGAGCCTTCGCACGTTACCTAAAGTTATTTAAAATTTGGAAGGTGGGAAAATGTTCAACAATCTAGCACCCATCCATCCATGGAAAAATAGTTATTCCAATGGCCAGTCGTCCATGGAAAATTTCTCCATCAATGGCCAGTCGATGGCGAATGTTCCGTCTACTGCCCGCCCGTAACCACGAGCTAGTTAATGGATAATGTTCCATCTTTGACGGTTATTTTTTTCATTGCCGTTTGCGTACATTTGAATGATTGCACCGCAGCGGCCATCCCAACCCTCTGTCGTTTTTCAAATCATTGAATATTGCATGTTTTTGAACAATGTAATGTATCCGCATTTTTTCCTCCCATGGCAGGGCGGTGCAAATTTCAACATTAACATTTGCACGTTTCCTGTTTTCATTCTCCAGTTACTCGCGAAAGTCAACACCGTCAACTGAGGAAAAAAACAACCTCGGGAGATCCAATCATGACAGTTGGACAACCACCACCATGGCATGAAAACAAACATCCAAAAAATGTGGGCCTGCAAATAGGAAAACACGAACCAGGTCTATCGCCCTTCTTCCAGAAGGGTTCGTGTCCTTCTCGTGTGTACTTCTTTTGGGGAGGGTCTCCCTGTAACATGCACCCCACACCAAAAAAATGTTCGAGATTGCCCAGGGACGCTCTGTGGAAAACCTTCGGCGGCCAGGCGGACACGCCTGGTGCGAAGCTTGCAAGTTCGACCTGCCTTGGCCCGCTGTTTCGCCGCCAGCGCCGTCGCAGTGGTCAATATGACAGGGTAAGTGAGCTGGCCCAAGCGAAGTCCACGATGTTTGCAGGGCTCCTGGAACCATGTTCCGAGTGGGGGGTGCATATTGTATTGTGTGGCTTCAACAAAATGCAGTGAATGGCGTTGCCTGATTCCCATCAGTGCCTCCAAATGTTCAAACGAACGCCGACCCAAACCTAGCAAACACCACCAAGACATCATGCTGCAAATCACATTCCTGCGCCGCGGCGACTATGGCGGGATGGGGCACAGCTGGCGCAGCAGCAAGCATTGCGTTCATCGGACGCGGGGCTAGCGTGCGGAGGTGTGCAGCTTAAATGGCTGGGCACGCAAGAGGGTATGTTTAACCGGACGGGTGTATTTCCGAATGTATTTCTTCATGTACGGGCGACGTGGCTCTAATCGTGCACAGGCCATGCCCGCCACTGCGCACGCGCATTGCCGCTCGCGGTGGCACAACATTGTCACAAACCCACACTTGAGGCCGAGGGTAGGTGACGAAAGCTAGCAGGGGTGCATCCGGGCTGGTGGGACATCAAGCGGAGTGAGGCAAATGCTCATAAGGTAAAGCGTTGTGAACATGTAGGACACACAAACAGCAATGACACAGCCAACCTTAGAATTGAAGTCCCCGATAATTAAGGAAA